ATCATGTGTTCACAGAATTAGGCCTACAGGCAGTCTGCGGCCTCTGGGGGGTAGTGGCGGTGTTCGAATTCTCAAACTATGCCTCAACATTGTAGCATCTGAATTCAGAAATATTTCCATCAATTTTTTAGTTTTTAAACCCGTAATAATATTAATGCATTGATATGTCTTATTTTCTTGCTGCATATTAACGACATTTATTTATATTTACTACATTTCGTTTCATAATTTTAAAGCTGTCGCGAGTGTTTGGACACGGTCACCCACCGCGACGACTGTTACGGTCCTGACTACACCGCCCTTATCCTCTTCCCCCCACCTCTTTCCCCCTCCCACTCCTTAACCCCCTTTCTCATACCCCTTCCCCCTTCTCTTTCCCCTCCTCTCCCCCCTTCCTCCTCATCCCTCCTTCTCTTACCCCTCCCCCTCCTTATCCCCCCTCCTCCTCATCCCCCCTTCTCTTACCCCTTCCCCCTCCTCATCTCCCCTTCTCTTACCCCTCCCCCTCCTTATCCCCCCTCCTCCTCATCCCCCCTTCTCTTACCTCTTCCCCCTCCTTATCTCCCCTTCTCTTACCCCTTTCCCCCTCCTCATCTCCCCTTCTCTTACCCCTCCCCTCCTTACCCCCCTATCTCTTACCCCTTCCCTCTCCTCATCCCCCCATCTCTTTCCCCTTCTCTTCCACCTTCCTGCTCATCCCCCTTCTCTTACCCCTCCTCCTCTTCTTACCCCTTCCCCCTCCTCTTTATCAACCTTCCTTCTCACCCCCCATTCTCTTACCCCTTCCCCTCATTACCCCCTTCTCTTACCCTTCCCCTTCCTTACCCCCTCTTCTCTTACCCCTTCCTCCTCATCCCCCCTTCTCTTACCCCTCCATCTCCTTACCCCCCTTTCTCTTACCCCTTCCCCCTTCCTTCTCAACTTCCCTTCTCCCTGCTCATCCCCCTTCCTTCTCATCCCCCCTTCTCTTACCTCTCCCCCTCCTTACCCCCTTCTCTTCCCCCTTCACCCTTCCTCCTCATCACGCCTTTTCTTACCTCTTCCCCTCCTTATCCCCCTTCTCCTACCCCTTCCCCCTTCTCTTTCCCCTCCCCTCTTCCCCTTCTCTTACCTCTCCTCTTCACCCTTCTCTTACTGAGGTATAATTGATGTGAGCACTTAATTGGCGGTCAGTGGTGGCACTTCTTAATAAACAATATATAATCTTGTGATTTAGTTCAGTTTGGGGTTTAAAGAAAAATCAGCATACCAATGTTATATCACAGAAAACGAATTTATCATAAACTCATGTATTTGTCATATAACATGGAAATTCATGCATAATAGATAACAATACGAATAGCCAAATTTCTGTGAATCCCCTACCATGTTGGAATCTGTGGAAATGAATGAGCAAATGTACTGACTTCTGAAGGAGCTGAAGGAAACCCATTGGTTTCCTTTTGGATACAAATGTCCATAGAGAATCAAAATGGAAACAGTTATAGTTGAACATGCAGAGGAGTTTAAGAATCTGTGGTGAGAGTGATGGACACAGCCTTGACAACTATACTTCAGAGAATGTAAACATCTAAGAGTCATTAGAAATATGTGTAAAATAATAAACCCAACATTGTTTGAGTTAGGGAAAACACCATTTATCATATAGATACTGTTCTTAAAGATTCCCCCATTTTGCACCTGCAAGATAACATATAAGATTTTAAGGATTGACGAATGTTAATCTTCTTGTTTGATAAACTATGCACTTGATATATATTTAATAGTTAATAAGAACACGCCAATATATAAGACAACAAAACGTTTTCAGATTCTTTCACACCACTCTCAAGCAACATTTACAATTTATATAAATTATTTTAAGGAATAATACATAAATTTTATATTTAAACATGATATTAGTGTTTAGTGGAATGCATAAGGAGTCAAACTGTGTTAAAAATAGTGATTTTTAGAAAATTTGGGAAACTACTTTCTTTGATCATAGAATAACTAAATGTATTTTGAAGGTTTCATTCAGCCATTAAATATCATTCACAATTTAATAATGAATTTTACAAAAAACACCATAAAATTTATTTGTAAACATGTAAAAACCATTTGTAATACATTAGGAACAAAATAGTTCTAGAAAAAACATTTATTATAAAACCTATGTGATTGGATTTTTGGGTTAAAAGTTTCTCAAATGCTCTCCTGCACCATTCTCAATGCAAGTTATTCCTACACCCATGGGAGGAGTTAGATGAACGTTTTGTATACGTTTTGTGTTTGCTGGGATCCCCCCAAACACACACCGAAACTACGACGTTGGTACAACGTTCGAACAAGTTTTAACTCCTAACCAGTTATAACAACCAATATAGCAAGTTGTAACAACGATCTAATATGTCATAAACACGTTATGCCAAGATGTAACAACTTTATTACAAGTTGTAACAAGCAGAAAATAAACAGTTTCGGTTTGTGTTTCCAGGGTATAATAATCCATATTATTGCTCAGTAATAATCCTTATTATTGCTTAATAATAATCCGTACTATTGCTCAATAATAATCCGTATTATTGAGCTCAATGACAAATACAAATTAAGACATTCACATTAAAAAATCGTATTGGTATGTAATTGCAGTACTAGGCTGCAGTTGCATAATTAAATAAATAGTACTTATATAACTGGTGATATTATTAGAACAGTATAATAACGACACAAACATAATTGCTGTTTGATTTTCAAACAGCAATCTGTTTGAAGAGTCAATCATAATCCACGACTCAAGGGAACTGGGCTTTCATTAATTATGTGTTGGGTGTTAACTATTGTGGATGGTCTGTATGGTTTGTGCTACACGCTTTCTGGATTATATTTGATCATATTATCCAATTCGTCATGAAAAAAAATTATGATATCAAATAGCATACACTCAAAATATTAGCAGTAAGGAACAGTTTTCCTCAACTATATAATAAAAATATTACTTAATCGATACGGTAAAAAACAAAATGTGGTAATTCTTGAAACAATTTTTTTTTACATGCAAGCATGCAAGGTAAATACAATAAAAATAACAGAAGATGTTAACAGACATGTTAACAAGCAAAAACAAAAAGCTATCGGCCAGAAGGACCGACAGCACAGTACAAACAACAAGAAAAAACAGCAATCATCAAGACAAAACAGAATACAAGAGAAAGCAATATAAACAGGCTAGCAATACACAAAACATAATAACACATGAAACAAAACAAACATTGTCATCACAACGTACAGGTAAGGCATAAAGATAACAACATAAAATATAACAAGAAAATCAAATATACAACAAGCCAAGAAAAAGAAACACAAGCTGCACAGGGCACAATAACAACACAAACAGTAAACAAGAACACACACAACTAACTACCGGCCTCGCAATAAACAAAAGGAGAGGCACAAGCACAGAACACAATAGAACAAACAATATAGCCAGAGGGGCACAAAGTACAACATAATCATAGGAACAGATAAACAGGGAACATACTACAAAGTGATAACAATAATAATAATAACAATAATAAAAATAACAAGAAAGGAAACATAAAATGCATAACAAACTAAAGGCAAAACACGACAAAGAGCATAAACCTAGACCGGGTCACACCAACAGCCTGAAGGGCACTCAACACGACACAATCAAGTGCACAAACAGCACCATACAAACATACAACCACAAAAAACAGAACAATAAAAACATGACATCCACAACCAGACACACACACGGAACCAAACCCCGGACCACACAGGAACCATATACACACACACACACACAAGCCATACAAAGAAAACCCACAAAATCAAACCGGAGCACGCAGGAACCGGGAAACATAAAACACACGCACACCCACACACGCACACCCCACCCACACCCAACAACCATGCACACAAATGGAAACAACCCACAACACACAATATAAAAAAAAAGAAATATCATAGGCGAGGAGCACAGGACTCAGAGTCAGGAGCATGTTTCTCAGGAATAAATCCCAAGAATACTTCCTCTTATAGGCTTCCCAAATCAGATATTGCCGCGGGGCCTGCATAAACTCAGGAATCTCTAGATCAGGCGGCATCGGCCAAACCTGAAGCTCACTGACGCAAGTGCATAACGAGGCCAGGGAGCGCAAACCACGCCCTTCGAGGAAGCAGATGATAACGAAGAAGCGTACAAGGGCTGCCGAGACAGCCGCGCCGCCATACGCACAGGAGCAGGGGACGCAGGAGACACTGAAGACAGAAGAGGCGTTGAGACCGCTGCCGAGGAAACGGGGAACGAGGAGGGGGCAACAGAACTCCCAGAGCAAGCAGCCTTCTTCAATACCACCACCAGGCCACCCCACTCACCACCAACCTCAGCAGGGGGAACCACCCCCCACAAAGAATTGGAGCCATCCGACGTAGGCGACACACCCGAAGCAGGACCTTCAGACACCATATCAGTGGAGGCCGAAACACTGGCACCGTCATCCTCAGGCAAATGCACCTCCGCCACCACCGTAGTTTGCAACACACCCGGAGCCACCCCTCCGTCGCCGGAAGATCCACAATCGGCGAATTTGCCAACGTCGGCCCATGCTTGAGAAGAACGCCGGGAATGCTTAGGCTCTGGTTGCACATCATCAGACCCGCAGGCTGACTCAGAGACACGCGCAACACAAGCCGGCTGAACTGATGCACGTCGCAGAACGGCAGCATCCTCAACCACATGGGGCACCAGGCCAGGGACAGGAGGAAGCGCCGGATCCACCCCAGCACTCAGCACATCCGGGACCCGAGGCACGGACACAGGGCCAGGCGTAGCAGCCAAAGACGTGGGAGAACACGGTGCCGCCTCACAGGGAGCACCAGGAAGGCCCTCGGGAGCAGCGAGGACAGTGGCGGGAGCAGGAAGACCATCCGACTGCACTGCAATACCCAGAGGAGGGACAGCAACAACCGGAGGCACGTCAGGCGACGCAGGGGGGGGGGGGCCTCAGCAGCTAACAGGACGCGCACCTCCGCATCCCCGGAATCCTCGCCCAGAGGGAGCGGCGAGAAATCCTCTTCCCAGAACAAGTTGACAGGAGCAGCTGGGGCCTCAGAGCACCCGGCAGCCTGATGCTCCAACACGCCACACCGAAAACAGGTACGGGGCTGCCGTGCATAATACACCCAGACATAGTAACCCATCAGCCGGACAGAAGACGGTATATCCGACCGCAGGCGCATTCCCAAGGTACGAATGTTTGTCCGCCTTCCAGCATACCTCCCCTGAGGAGAGTATGTTCACCCGCATGCTGACAATAGCATCATACCTCCCGAAGTAACGCCGAAGGAGGTCTTCAGGGAACTCCAGGGGCGCCCCATGGACACTGACATAAGTCAGGGCACCACTACGATACGAAATCGCTAAAGAGCCAGCATCACCCGGCAACGGCAACGTACGCCCCTCATACCGACGAAGGAAGTCCTGGTACTCCTCCTCCCTCACAAACTTGAGAACAACCCGGTAGGCTGTAACAAGCTCAACACCGTAGATAGCCTCCACTGGGATATGAAGCATGTCACACATAACCATCTCGATGTTCGTATATCCAGCCTTACAAGTGAACTCCAGGCCCACAGAGTTCACATGCACAACAGGGGGAAGATGGCCTCCCATGTCAGAACTGCCACATCAACACGTAGCCAGGCAGCAACAAAACTGGGAGGGCAGAGACGTCCACACCACCTGGCGACCAAAATGGCAAACAACCCCAACAACCAGGGAGGGTCGGCAAGACGTCCTCACTCCACGGCTACCAGGGCCAGACATGATATTATTAGAACAGTATAATAACGACATAAACATAATTGCTGTTTGATCTTCAAACAACAATCTGTTTGAAGAGTCAATCATAATCCACGACTCAAGGGAACTGGGCTTTCATTAATTATGTGTTGGGTGTTAACTATTGTGGATGGACTGTATGGATTGTGCTACACGCTTTCTGGATTATATTTGATCATATTCTCCAATTCGTCACGAAAAAAATTATGATATGAAATAGCATTCATTCAAAATATTAGCAGTAAAGAACAGTTTTCCTGAACAATATAATAAAAATATTACTTACTCAATAATGTAAAAAACAAAATGTGGTAATTCTTGAAACAAACTGACACCTCTAGAAGCAGTGTTGAAAAGCTTACACCTCCCTCCCCTCCTTCCCCCTATCCATGAAAGAGAAATAACTGAGACTGTATTTTATATATCAATAGCATCAATACCAAGGGACAGAGCTATCACTATGAACGTCTTGTCCAATAATATTGACATCAACCCCTGCATCACTGAGCTCTTGAGCTTGTATTAGCATTACTGTCCTCCTGAACTCCTGTAAGAGTTCAACGTGTTGCCAGTTCTCTCTTTCATTCAAGATTATTTCATCTATTACAGAGTTTGTATTTAAGCTTTTATGTCCCAGGCTCAGTTCAACTATTTTATTAGTGTGTTGCAACAAAGCTTTAGCAATATCTTGCATATCTTTACGTAGATCATCCATTGCAATATTATTGTCTCTAACCTTTGTCTTTAACTGCGTTATGGTGTTCATAAATGCATCATACTTGGCTTTCTCAATATCATCAATTATTTCTCTTTCTTCCGTGACATAGTTTTGTGTCTCAGTTTTATGGTCCATCATATCATGAGAGCATTCACGACTGCTGCATGGTCCATTTATATTATTGAGACAATCTGCCTTTGTTTTTCTCATTAAAAGTCCTGTAGTGAGACCAGCAGTTAAACCAAGGACAGTTCCAATGCTTGCACCAATTGCAACTCCTACTGGACCACCAAAGATACCCACTTCTGCCCCCATCACTGCTCCAGAAGTTACTGAAGTACCAATTCCCGTAAAAACTGCCGTGCCAACCCCAGTACCAGTTCCTGCAAATCCAGCAAGAAAATTTTTTGGGTCTTCACACTCCATACAAGTTTGTCTGCAAATGTCACAGTTGAGGAAGTGATATCCAATGGTTACTGAAGATTTAAATTTTACCATTATCTTTTTAGTTACGTTGATTCTATCAGCCTGCGCTTTAATTTTCTCTATTTCCCTATGCTTATTATTATTTGTGTTGGTTATATGGACCATACTTGCTACCGTTTTTATCAATTCAGTTTTTGTTTCTTCGAGTAATTTTTCCTCCAGCAAAAGGTCCCCAGTTCTTTTAAGGTTTACTGGAGCAGAAATTTGTAAATCTTCAAAAAATCTTTTATACTCTGCTTGCATCCTGTTCCATCTATATGTAAGGTATGCATGTTTGTGATTCTGGAGAAGACCATCACAGAGTGGATCATATAGAAGCCCGTTGTCAAATTGGTACAAGTTGACAAACTGGACTCCAGCATGTTTCACCACATCAACAACTGCCGAAGTGTCATCAGTTGCAAATGTTGCCAGAAGCTGCGTTATATCACCAATATTACTTCCCAGCACTGAAGTAAAGTCTTCTAGCATTTGTATCTGGTATGATGTTATTCTGTTTTGGTTTGCCTTAGCAACTAAGGCAACACAATTAAGGTCATCTATCCCACATTCATTTGTCAGGAAAATTGTTAGTCGCTCTATTGGGACTTTATCGTGGTTCATTCTGGTGTCACCAAACCCAGGTGTGTCAATCAACATATAATTACACTCAATAGGCATTCCAAGTTGATGGCAGACAATGTAAGCAGTGATATATTCTGTCTGGCTTTCCACTTGGAGGAGATCATCACTTTCAACATAATCTTTCAACTGAAACCTAAAATTATCGTCAAAGTTGACACCTAACAGATGGTTGATCATGGTGTTGAGGACTCTGGTCTTGCCGGCGCCTGTCTCTCCCAGCAGGAGAACCAACTTGATGGGGCCCTTATTCACAGGTCCAATGGACATGACCTGTATCTTGCCATCTTCATCCTTGTGAATAACTTCAGTGTTGATCTCGTAGGTTATGAGTCCTTCCTCGTCTTTCACTTTCACGCAGAAGTTCTCAATGAAGTTCTTCTTCAGTTCGGCGTCCTCCATCTTGCTCAACTTGTCTGTAAATTATATGACTAGATTATAACTTTAATTTTATTCTTAGGATTATAGTGTAATTGATCCATGTATCTTGAAGACCAACCTATTTGGTTAGAATTAAATAATAATAATAATAATAATAATAATAATAATAATAATAATAATAATAATAATAATAATAATAATAATAATAAGAAGAAGAAGAAGAAGAAGAAGAAGAAGAAGAAGAAGATAATAGGAGGTATATACAGGCCACCAAACTTTGACAAAATAGAAGCAAAGCACATATGGAATGAAATATCTCGAGCATTGAGGTCAAACAGTGTTTGTTATGGGTGAATGTTATAACCCAGTAATTTCACTAGATCATAACTATGCAGTATTATATAAATTCCATACTCTAGGTTCATGGTTTTAACCTGTTGTAGTATTCATTAAAATTATTGCTCGTGTAGTGAAACATTCAAGTAGCAGTGATGTAGAAAAATACTTAAATTACTTGATGAAGTTAGATGCTTGTGTTAAAATATATTCAAACAGCTTGTATGATTTGTTCTTGATGTGAGGAGATTATGTAAGTTCATGATTTGACTGTTATATGACTGTTACATCTAGAAAGGGCAGCTTCCCATCATTCTACATCTCGTACGTGAAACTCAACACAAAATTCTGCTCAAATGCCTCCTTCAGCTGCTACAGACGTCTGACATTAGGTACCTGCATAAAAGTATCGTCAACATACCTGCAGTATATGGCGGGTTTCAAGTCCATGTCATGTCAAGTCCATAAGAGGGTCTTAGTTGACATGGTCTTGAAACCCGCCATATACTGCTGGTATGTTGACCACATTTTCATGCAGGTACCTGATGTCAGACGTCTGCAGCAGTTGTAGCAGGCATTCGAGCAGAATTCTCTGTTGAGTTTCACGGACGAGATGTAGAATGATGGGAAGCTGCCCTTTCTAGATGTAAAAACCATGGAAAGGAAAGGAGGCTTCCACACTGCAGTCTACACTAAGGAAACAAACATAGGAATGTGCCTCAATGCCAACAGTGACTGCCCAGACAGGTACAAGAGGAGTGTTGTCAACGGTTACGTCGACCGGGCTCTCAGTCACAGCTCAGGATGGAAGCAAGTCGATGAAGAACTCTGTAGGGTAAGGCAGGGCCTAGTCAACAACGGCTTCTCTAACGGTTTTGTTGAAGACGTCATAAAATGAAAGGTGAAACGTCTTGCAACCTCTCAAGAGTCAACTAACACATAACTTGTACCCCCCTATTAGACTGTTTTTTCAGGAACTTCTTCTCGACGGCTCATAGAACGGAGAATAGGGTCCTGTAAAACATTATTGATAGGAATGTTATCTCTACAGACAAAAATCAGAAGATACAATTGACAATTTATTACAAAAACAAAAAAAACGGCCAACTTACTCATAAAAAACTCCCCAGACACCAAACAGAATGCCCTGAAGGAAACCATCGTCGTCTATGCCTTCACATGCCTGCTTGGGGACTGTAAGCCCCAAAAAACTCAGTATATAGGTAAGACAACAACATCTCTTTCTAGGCAATTAACTATGCACAAACAACAGGGCTCCATCAAGGAACATATAATTTCTTCTCACAACCAGACCATCACCAGAGAAATCTTAACAAGCAAGACAGAAATCATCGATAAATACAGGAATAGCAGGAGACTCGACATCAGCAAGGCACTACACATCAAAAGTCAACACCAGCAATCAACCACCAATTAATGCACAACTATATTCTACCCACTTCAAAACCATAAACCAACATAGAAGAAGCAAGAGGAAGTATAGGCCAATAAGCCTTCTGCAGTTACTTCCGTTCTTATGTTTTCATACCCAATTTATACCCATTGATTCGTCTTCTGGCATATGCTCTGTCACCTCACCCAAAACTTTTGTGCCATATAACCTCACCCAAAACGAGTATAAATATGATGCATTTTATGTGTAAACTAAGTCTTTGAAAATGTAATAAGCATTATGAAATGCGTTCAGGCGACAGACTAAAAATAAAGAATGAATTTGGGAGAGTTAATTTATCAATTACCCTCGACAGTGAAGAAGAACGTAAGAAATATTGAGAAGATTCATGTTGGAATTATTAATCTTACCCTTTCAGTCATATTCGACAATATATATATATAAATATATATATATATATATATATATATATATATATATATATATATAGCATACACTTGCTTAAACACGCAAGTTACAAGTATAGAACACACACACCCACCAGGGGACTTGAACCCTGGCCATCAAGATGGCAGGTACGCACTTATACCCACTACACCATGCTCAGAGCCCTTAAAAGAGGTGGGAATTCTGGGGTATTTAACTCCCAGACAACCCATCCTCTTCCAGGCAATGGTACAGTGAGGGATCATTGACGTTTTCTATCAAGCCCTGTTATATATGGGAGAACACGTAGTCCATGCTTAATGCACACACTTGCTTAAACACGCAAGTTTGAAGTATAGAAACTTTAGACACACACACCCACCACGAGACTTGAACCCTGGCCATCAAGATGGCAGGTACACACTTATACCCACTACACCATACTCAGAGCCCTTAAAAAGGTGTTTAAGCAAGTGTGTACATTAAGCATGGACTACGTGTTCTCTCACATATAACAGGGCTTCACAGAAAACGTCAATGATCGCTCACTGTACCATTGCCTGGAGGAGGATGGGTTGTCAGGGAGTTAAATATCCCAGAATTCCCATTTATTTTAAGGGCTCTGAGTATGTTGTAGTGGGTATAAGTGTACCTGCCATCTAGATGGCCAGGGTTCATGTTCCCTGGCAGGTGTGTGTGTCTAAAGTTTATTTATATATATATGCATATATATATATATATATATATATATATATATATATATATATATATATATATATATATATATATATATATATATATATATATATATAGTCGACTATATATATAGTCCGACGAGTAATTGCAACTCAAACTGAGGATGAACGGCCATCAGCAAACGAGCGAAACAGAGAAAGAATGGCTCAAATACGTGCCGAGGAAGCAGCAGAGCGACGTGCAGCCAGACTTAAGGATGCACGGTTACGAGCACGGCTATGGCATTCTGCAGCTTCAGATCTGCTTCGTTCTCAACAGAATGAACGCGACAGATTGAGAGTGGCTGAAACATATCAGCAAGAAACAGCAGATCACCTTCAAACACGACTCCGTGCTCACCAATCATGCGATTACAATCGCCATGCATACCAGTACAACCCAGCTGATGATTATAATATGAGTCGGCATGTTCTCATCGGCACTATAACTGAAGTGTGTCCTTATTGCAAGGCTTTCAAATTTAATGGAGAAACGAAAGGAATGTGTTGCGCCGCTGGAAAAATTAAACTGCCTTAACTTGCAGAACCGCCAGAGCCATTACAAACTTTGCTTGCTGGATATACCGACGAATCAAAGCATTTCCTATCAAACATCAGGAAATACAACTCATTACACTTTCCAGCAATTGAGATTTGTCAACAGCGTTACACGTGCCAATTTCCGTAGTGCATGTCAAGATCGGAATTTATTGGAGAACGACCGACAATGGGATGTATGCATTAATGACGCGTCCAACACGTCACATCCAAATCAAATTCGTGCATTGTTTGCAATCATATCAACTGCCTGCTCTCCTTCATCTCCAATACAGGTATGGGAGAAATATAAATCGCACATGGCTGAAGACATTGTCCATCGAATACGAAAGGAAAATTCAAATATGAACATGGATTTCACAGCAGAAATCTACAACGAAGAGTTGATAATGATTGAAGATTTGTGCTTAGAAATCGCGAACAAAGTTCTCAATTATTTGGGAATGCCATCACCGAATCGATCGGCTGCTGCTTCGTTTGATGTAGAATTGCGTCGTGAACAAAGTTACAACACGGGTGAACTGTTGTCTTATGTGCATTCAAATATGCCATAGCTAACGCTTAAGCAAAAAAGCATTTACGATCGAATAATTGAAACTGTCTATACTGGGCTTGGAGAAATCTTCTTAGATGCGCCAGGAGGAACTGGTAAAACCTTCCTAATTACATTGAATCTTGAAGCAATTCGATCTCCAAATGGCATAGCCTTAGCTCTTGTGTCGTCCGAAATAGCTGCAACATTGCTACCATGTGGAAGAGCTGCTCATTCGGCTTTGAAATTTCCATTGAACATGCAATTCATTGAAACTCCCACGTGTAACATTTCGAAAGCGTCGAGCATGGGAAAAGTATTGCAGAAATGCAAACTCATTGTTTGGGATGAATGCACAATGGCCCACAAAAAATCGCTCGAGGCTCTTGATTGATCATTGCAAGATTTGCGTGGAAACATCAGACCATTTGGGAATGCATAAATATTGCTTGCAGGAGATTTCAGGCAAACATTACCTGTAATTACGCGATCGACACCAGCGGACGAAATAAATGCGTGCCTGAAATACTCTACTTTGTGGCGCCACGTAAAGACGTTAAAATTAACTACAAATATGCGTGTCCAGCTGCAAAATGATCCATCAGCTGAGATATTCTCACATCAATTGCTGGAAATTGGGAACGGAAACGTGCCGGTTGATCTGACCTCAGGACGAATTTTATTGTTTCATAACTTCTGTAATTTAGTGATGTCAAAAGGAGAATTGATTGAAAAAATATTTCACAAAATTCAAATCAATTATAAGAATCACGATTGGCTAAGTGAACGAGCTATTCTTGAGGCCAAGAACAAAGACGTCTACGAACTAAACAATATTAATAAGCCTAACATTGAAAGCAGGCGTCACATACAAGTCCGTCGACACTGTTGTGGAAGCAGATGAAGCGGTTAATTATCCAACAGAATTTTTGAATTCACTCGATCTGCCAGGGATACCACCGCACGTACTGCAGTTGAAAATCGTCGTGCCAATTATCATGTTGCAAAATATCAACCAGCCAAAACTTTGCAGCG